ACCCTGTATATCAAGTGTTTTTAGTTTGTGATACCACTATAGATTCGAAAGCAATGTATAATAATAATATAAGTAGTATAATAATATAGATCAAGATTTATTTCCAACATATATTTAATATAAGGTAAATGCAAATCTGTTGTTTTATTAAAAAAATCAAAAATTAAAACCAGAAATATTTTTTTTTACCTAAAAAAAATTAAGAATATTATTTTCTTTAAGTATAATTTTTGTATTATGTAAAAACAATATTTGAAGAAAATAATGATTTATAAAAAAATAGAATGGCTGTATAAAAAATTTAAATGACGTGATTTCATGAAACGGTGAGACACGGGTACGTTTTTTTACCTTTATTTTTAAAATCTGTTTTCATGGGAGGAAAATCATGTTGAACTGTGTTATATTCCAGTAGTAACAGAGGAAATTAATAAAACATAAAGAGACTGCTGACAAACACAAAATAAAAACAAATTCTTAAAAGGTTCCCCAAATGTCTTGTCTTGCTAAATTTTAATCTCCCAGCCCAATTATAACGCATGGTCTTAAAAATTTTGTAATGGTGGAGCAACTGCCTTAAACGTAAATTGGTTTTTAAGTGTACGCTGGATTACACTGAAAAACATTTTAAAATGTTCCACATGGCATAAATAAAAAACATAATAATAAATGCTTCTAATATTATAACACTATAGTTCTCACTACCGCTTGTTCCCAGGTTCAGGGCAGTCGATAAAAGACAGTTTTAAAAATTTATAACTTAAATAAAGAATAATCAAAAACTTAAACCAAAACTGATACTTTCAAACTAATAAATAAGCGCTCCTACAAAGCTACAAAGGCCATAAATTAAGTACCTAAACTAGGTGGCCTTCTTCATAAAAAACGTCAAATGTCTTAGACAAATGCATAGTGGGGTAAAATAAACTGTATGCATCCGTTCCTAATTTCAGCAAGTAAACAAAGACTTGCAAATATATCTGAATCTTCTCTATAGAGAAGATTCTCTATAGATTCAACTTTATCAATTCAGATGAAATAAGCAGTTGAATTTCCACAAAGCGTAGTATCTCAAAAAACAAGATAGGCCCCTACAACGTATAAACCAACCTAAATCCCTGGTTGAAGGGGATTCCGGATTGTACTTAGTTTTGGTATATCATCCCTTGAAAACCAAATTGTTTTTCCTCATTGTCCCAAACTCCACTAGTTCGGCGAAAAAATTCCGGGAGGGGTCTTAACTCGTCGACACTATCGTCCACGATCTTCCAAGGGAGAGTCATCAGCCGGGGTTAAACTTCGGATGCATTATACAGAGGTTATGCTGTGCAGTTGCGGAATACCTAGGAGAACCGAAAGGGGGTAAAAATAACTCTGGGAGACCAGTGTATGATGATGCTGATGGGGCCAGCTATACGTTCCTCATACTCATACTCATATTATAACACTAGTTCGAAAATAATTTTTATTCTACACTTACGTGGAATTGAGATATCATACGCTCGAAAACAATGAAGTATTCGGAACCCCTCTCGTCAAATGTTTTCAGGACATTTATACATGTGGTAATAACAAACATCTGATTTTACCCTTGAAGAATTGCATTTATCGGCGAACGCCTGCTTTTATTCGCAAACATCTGCTTTCATCCGCGATCGTCTGCTTTAATTCGCAAATATCTACTTTAATCCGAAAATTATGCTTCATCCGCTACGATCTATTTTCATCTCCGAACGCCTGCTTTAATCTGCAAACATCTGCTTTAATCCGCAAACATCTGTTTTTATCCGGAAACATTTGTTTATAATTGAAATCCTCTGCTTTCACCCGCAAACATGCCAATGTTCGGTTTTATCCGCAATTGAAGAAATAGGTTTATTGAACTTCAATATTATTTGGTAAAATACAAATAAGGACATATACCTAAACATTTTTTAATAATTAAATTTACATTTAAATTAATTGTTAGACAAAATATTTTTTATTACAAATACATTTTGAATGATAACATCTTTAATTTGTATGGAATTTGTTTGAAAAAACTTATTTCGGCGTAGAATTTTTCAATTAACTTTAGCTCCTAACCAATATTTTTTATATTTATATGTAAGAATTAATACTTATTATACTTATTATAATATAAAACCAGTCGTAAGCAGACGTTTGCAGATGAACCCGGACAAATGCGGATATAAAAGAAACGCGGTAGAGACGGTCAAAAGCAGATGACTTCGCGTATAAAAGCAAATGTTTGCAGGTAAAACCGGATAAAATCAGACGTTTGCAGATAAAAGCAGATGTTCGCGGGTGAAAGCAGATGTTCGCGGATAAAAGCAAATGTTTGCAGATGAAACAGGATGAAAACTGACGAACGAACGGATAATATGTTTGCGGGTGAAACCGGATGAAAGCAGACGTTCTCGGGTAAAAGCATGTTCGCGGATAAAAGCAGATGGTTGCGGTGAAAACCGGATAAAATCATACATTTCTGGATACAAGCAGATGTTTGCGGGTGAAATCAGATGTTCGCGGATAAAAGCAGATGTACGCGGATAAAAGCAGATGTTTGCGGGTGAAATTGGACAAGGCCGACATTTGCGGGTAAAAGCAGATGCTCGTGGATGAAACCAGATGTTTGCGGATGAAACCCAAAAAAAAAAGACGAACGAAATGCAGTTAATCCCAGATAAAACCAAGCACGTAAGCAGTTTGCAGATGAACCCGGACAAATGCAGATATAAATAAAACGCAGAAGAGCCATTCACTAACCGGATGAAATCAGGCGTTCGCGGGCAAAAGCAGATGTTCGGGGAATAAATCAGATGTTTGCAGATGAAATAGCATAAAAACATTAAAAAAATACAGGTAAGAATTTATATTCGCATCATTCGTCATTTTCAGCAGGGCTGACGTTGACGTTCGTAGTTGCAGTTCTTGTTTCCGTTGGGTCAGAATTATTGCATTTATATATTGAAGTTCAACAAGAACGGCTAGTCATTCAGAATCACCTATTTTAAATATATTTATAAATTATAACCCAATTTAAACAAAACACTCGTAGCGCATTGTGAACCTACTGAAATGAATATAAATAATACAATCTACAGACCTCAGAACAAAACAAATTAAATTTATTTTATACACATATATGTTATGAACTTTATGGCGCTTGTGGTAAACGTTCGTAATCCGAACTTCAAGTTAAAAGTTGGTAAACTCAAACGGCAACTGTATGGTAGAGGATCACATGTTTGACTTTTGAAAGGGAACTGCAACGGCCAACGTCAACCTCAGATCTATAAATCCAGCTTTAAACATTGTTCACATATTAAATTAAATTTTAAAGGCAAAATCTAAAAAAAAACAGAAAACAAAATTTAACTCTAAAAGCAAAACAAATCTGTCAATAAAACCATTAGTTCACGCTACGATTTGCTCTTAAAGTTTTAATTTTTATTTATTTTTTGATTTCATTCTAGGACAAAATAATATGTGAAAGAACTCGCATTCTTGCCTCTCTTGCTTCGCTTCTATGTCAAAATTCATAATCGACCATTTCCCTCAATTGTTGCAGAATAAACTATATATGGGGTTAAAAAACATATTTTTTAAAGAACATGTTCTTAAATTTATCGAATGATTGTTTATTATTCAGGGTGGCCTTATTCTGGAAAAACGGTAAATGTCAGGGAATTTATTTTGTCAGGAAAAGTCAGAAAAATTTTCTTAGTGCCAGGGAATAATTGATTCAATTTAAAATGTATTGTATTGAACATTTCTGGATTTTATCTAGGAAAGAAAAAAGCAATAGGTAGTCACTGACTACTTGTCAGGAAATTTTTTAAAAACTCAATGGAAAATCGGAGAAATTCAAAAAAAGATCTACATTTTTTATAAAAATTTAGTTAAAAAAAAGTTTGTTTTTTAGAATATATGTAGGTAACTGTTAAATTATTGAGTCAGAAGGTGCCATGTTTTTTTTGTACAGGTATATTAGTATAATGATGTACCTACCTATATATATGTATATAGCCTATTTTTAAATGTACATAATAACTAATATACCTATATATATATATATATATATATATATATATATATATATATATATATATATATATATATATATATATATATATATATATATATATATATATATATATATTAGGGTGGCCCAAAAAAAAGAATATTTTTCTTCTTCTCGTCTCTTGTGAAAATAAATTGGTTTGTAATGTTTTAAGAGCCCTGTCAAAAGATCAGCACCATTAAAAAATTTTTAGGGGTCGCTCAAGATTTTTAAAAATTACCAAAATCGTCAAAAATTGGATTTTTTTTATTTTAATTTTTTTTTTCGTTCCGATATTATTTTTTAATTTAAATATAATAATGATTCTAAAAATTTCAAATCGATATTTTAATTTCTAAAGGTCGCTCAAGATTTTTTTAACTTTCAAAGTAGAGTATTTTGTATGTTTTCGAGCGACCTCTGAATATAAATATCAACGAACTTTTAGCGACCTTTAGAAATCAAAATATTGATTTGAAATTTACAGAATTTTTATTATTTTCAACCTAAAAAATAATATCGAGACGAGAAAAAGAATTAAGATAAAACAATAATTCAATTTTTGACGATTTTGAAAATTTTTAAAAATCTTGAGCGACCCCTACAAAATTTTTAATCAAGCTGATATTTTGAAAGGGCTCTTACAGCATGATAAACCAACATATTTTCACAAGAGACGAGAAGAAAAAAATATTCTTTTTTTGGGCCACCCTATATATATATATATATATATATATATATATAGGTAAATAGGTATATAGGTAAATAGGTATATAGGTATATTAGTTATTATGTATATTTAAAAATTCATTAGTTGTAGAAGTATGCTGAATTGTGTTGTGATGTACATTTTATTTTAATCTTATCTTATTTTAAGATAGGAATACTTAGATAAGGTAATTTTATTTTATTATTTGATTTTCTTAGTTTGTGAAATGTGGAACAATAAAGTACAATGGAAAGAATCCGAAAATTCATTGCGTATATTGGATTACATACTTTTGGAATGAAAATGATTTATCCTGGATCGTGTTTTTTTATGCCCAAGTTTTTAGGTAATAAATCTGACGTTGTTTAGTATAAACTTGTTACATATATAATATTTTAACATATCTATTTTGGCTTATTTTAGACCTAAATATTTTTTAACTGTTTTTATTACTTTCCTTATATTATTATAGAAAATAAAATAAATTTAATACCAGTTAATGTAATTAAAAAAACGTTACCACAACAAACCTCTAACGTTAAAAATTTAAAGTTTTAAAGAAAATCTTAATTTTTCTGAAATAGACTTTTAATTATAGATTATCTTGAAAAATTAGTGCTAAGGCATGCCCATATTTATTTTAAAATTAGACAGAAAGATATGTAGCCCCTCAAGTTACTTTTGAATTATTTCTATTTAGACCGGGCTTTTAGGGACTTAAAAATTGAAAAAAGGCTCGTAAAAAGGCACTCAAAAAGGCAAAATAGGCAAAAAGGCACAAAAATGCTATTAAAACTTTTAACACAACATCCATAATTTAAATTAATAAAAAACTAATTTTACAAAATATAAATGCAGTTTTAATGGTTTATTTGCCATTAAATTTAGGTTCATATCAAACAATCATTTTTATTATGTCGTTTATCAAATAAATTATGTTGTAAGGGACCTCACAATATGTTTTTTGTGAGCGGAGCTATGATTTGATACTATAGTATCGCACCATTATGGTATTATGATATATGGTATTATGATAGCTCCGCATATATGATCATAGGTCCGCTCACAAAAAACATAGTTTTAAATCTGGGTGTCACATCGGAGCGCATAGGTCGGAGCAAAGGTCTGGTGTGAAAATCAGTGTGTTTATTTATTCTGGTGAAGGGAGCTATGGACGGTGCTTCGATGTTAGCACGCTATAGAGTGTATTTGTGATTTAGCTTACTAATTTGTTGCATGCATTTCAAAATCGTTTTTTACTTTTTACTATTTACCTACAGGTACACTGTGCCCATATTAACCTATATTGCAACAATGTATACGGATCTCATTTTGGCCAAAATCGCGTAGGTAGCACTTGAAAAACGTAATTTTGTATATTTTATTTTATTATTATAAAATAAAAATATAAGATTCACTATTTTACTTTGGGATATAAAAATATTAAAATTGTTAATATAGATAAATATGTATATAAAAGGTATTTCTTTGTTATACTTTATAGTATACGTTTATAATAATAAATAATGCATTGATTACATATTATACATATAAAGGGTGTCCCATTAAGACCGCCTATTTTAAATTTAGTGTCATTTTTTTGTGGCAATCGTACAGCGTTGTTGTTGGTCAGTGGTCATGTGTGAACATTGAGATGTCATGGAGATTTACACAGACGCACAACGCATAGAAATTGTAAAAATCCACTATCGAAATGGTGAGAATTTTTCGGAAACGGTTTGAAGATATCGTGGATTTTTCGGTCACCATAAAGAACCTTACTGTGGTCTGATTAATCGAGCAATTTGAAACGATTGGGTCAATTCAAACCAAAAAGAGACATGTCCGTGTTCGTGCAGCTCGGTCTGCTAAAAATATTGCAGAAGTTAGTGAAAGTGTTGAACAAAATTCTTAAACCTCGATTCGCCACCGTTTCCAGCAATTGAGACTCGAAGCAGTTTACAGCGAATTTTGGCCAAAGACCTGCATTTTCATGCGTACAAAATTCGATTGACACAATATTTAAAGACAGCAGACCATGCACAGCAATGAAACCAGGGAATTATTGAGGACAAAATTTGAAGGCACAGTTATCTCGCGTCGCGAGGATTTGATGTGGCCAGGCCGATCATGCGATTTGACGCCGTTAGATTTCTTTCTTTGGGGTTTTTTGAAGGAAAAGGTTTATGCTAATAACCCATGAACAGTTCCTAAACTAAAACATGAGATTCGACGGGTCATTGATGAAATTGAGCCAGCACTATGCCAAAATGTAATCGAAAATTTTGTCAAAAGAATCAACGTGTGCCGTCAGTAACGAGGCGCCAATGTCTTCCTTCTTTATTACAATAAAAATATCTTAACTTTTTAAATAAACACAGCATTTTTTTTTTAATTTTAAAATAGGCGGTCTTAATGGGACACCCTTTGTATATATATATGCATGGGTCATTTCACGTCAAATTTACCGACAAAATTTAAATTTGCCTGAATTATTTTTTTTTTCGTTTACGACACCAAAAAAAGTGACACGTATTTTTTTGTTTCAAAATTTTATGAATTATGTTAAAGTTACGATTTTTTTTTAATTTCAGTACCAGAAAAAAAGAATTTTAAACAGTAGTTTTTGAATAGAATAAAATTTAATAAACTTTAATTTTTTTTGGCTTAATTTTAAGGTTATGCATTGTTTTAAATATTTAAATTAAAAAAAATAATATTTTTTTTAAATCAATTTTTTTAAGCAAATTTTAAAAATTAATAAAAAAAAATGAAAATCGACATTTTTTTTTTAAATTTTTAAAATGTGTATTAACTTGTCAAAGTTTGCAGAACATTGTATAAAAATTTCAGAATGGACCGTTTAATATCGTATGAAATATTAATAATTTTAGATATCCGCGCTCTTAAAATGAAGGCTGTTACAAATACGGGGTAAGAACAGATTACTTGTGTGACACCAAAAATCAAACTAAAACAAACTCAAAATCAAACTATATGATACGTCAAACTAATTTAATGACATTTCATTAAACTCGCCTACTTCGCTGTAAAAAAATATATGATAAAAATATACACGTTGAGACTTTTCTTAGTGAAAAAAAAAAACTTTTTCTAGGACTAATAAAATATTTAACAATAAAAATCGTCGTAGAGTGGCTTTTACTAAAAGTATATATTTGCAATTTTCTGTCAATTTTATAAATTAATGGTACATTTATCTAATTTTGTTATAAGAAGTGGCAGACATTTATTAAGCAATATTAAACTTAAAATCCAGGGGACAATAAATCAGTTTTATTTTAGAATAAAATATTTAAAAAATTTTTAATACTAGGTATTTTATGAAATTTGCTTTATAGGCTTGTGTTTTACACCTGCCCCCAAAGAAAATAAATAAAGTTTTAATTATTAGCTTAACCATTAATTAAAATTTTAACGAATGTAAATTTTTATTAATATTGCTTTAAAAAATATAAAATGGTAAAATTTTAAATTTCCGTTCGTAATTTTGAATGTTAATCGTCAATATTTTGTGATATCCTAAATATGTCTCTGTAACAGCTTTCATTTTAAGAACGCGGATATCTAAAATTATTAATATTTCATACGATATTAAACGGTCCATTCTGAAATTTTTATACAATGTTCTGCAAACTTTGACAAGTTAATACACATTTTAAAAATTTAAAAAAAAAATGTCGATTTTCATTTTTTTTAATTAATTTTTAAAATTTGCTTAAAAAAATTGAATTAAAAAAAATATTATTTTTTTTTAATTTAAATATTTAAAACAATGCATAACCTTAAAATTAAGCCAAAAAAAAATTAAAGTTTATTAAATCTTATTCTATTCAAAAACTAATGTTTAAAATTCTTTTTTTCTGGTACTGAAATTTAAAAAAATCGTAACTTTAACATAATTCATAAAATTTTAAAACAAAAAAATACGTGTCACTTTTTTTGGTGTCGTAAACGAAAAAAAAAATATTTCAGACAAATTTAAATTTTGACGGTAAATTTGACGTGAAATGACCCATATATATATTAGGGTGCTTCAAAAAAAAAATTAATTTATTTTTTTCGCTCTTATAAGAGGGTATACCCAAAGTGTATTATCTTTGGGTATACCCTCTCAAATGTTTCTATTTAATATAAAAAAAATCCTCACCAAATATGGGCGTTCCAGCTTAACTCTAAGAGGTCGCTGTTTTTATTTTAGTTTCCCTTTTGATTAACATGGGAAAAAATAATTTTATGTTTGGAATTTTACACCTCTGTATCCAAGTATTTTATGGCAATGATCATTGCAGTTTCCTAAATAAAATGTAACGCTCTACAAAAAAGGTTTCTTATTATTTTTCGATAAATTGATTTCTCCTAGAGTTATTCGAGGTCAAAGTTTGATTAACATCAAATTTTCTGGGTTTTTTTAATTTTATGGTACAATTGGCAGAGCGAAAAAAAAATTAAATTTTTTTTGAAGCACCCTAATATATATATTTAATATATATTTAATATTAATATATATATTAGTATATATTAGGGTGTTTCAAAAAAATCGACTTTTTCTTTTTCTTCAAATGGTCACCAAATTCTTTCAGAGGATGTCAAAACAAAGACCTCGTTAAAATTTGAGCTTTTAATTTGAAGATTTAGAGGTCGCGGATCGCAATTTTCTATTTCCCATTTAAATAACATAGGAAATTTTTTTTTTAACTTTGGAATTTTATACGTCTATATCGAATCAACTTATGGTAAGGAACATCTTAGATTTTTATAGTAAATTTAACGCTCTATAAAAAATGTCTCTTATAATTTTTCTATAAATTGATTTTTTCCAGAGTTATTCGAGGCCAAAGTTTGATTTCCATCGAATTTTCTCGTTTTTTCAACTTTTAGCATCATGTAGTAAAAAAATCACATATTTATATCTGAAACATAGGAAGTGTTGTAAAAAAAACAAAAAAACAAAAAAACGTCACTTTTTTCCATAGCCTACTACAAAGTTTTAATGAAAATATGAGATGTGTATAATATGCAGAGTAATTTATATATAAATGCATTTTTCTCGAAAATGGTGCATCTGAGCAATTCAAATCAAGAGTACCTATTTTTTGTAAAAAACTATAAATTCTCATAATTTCATAAAAAAAATTAAATTATGAACCCAGAAAAAAGTTGGGGCTATTTTTGTAACTTTGCCCCCTCCAAATGTTACGCCTATGATTAAATTTTAACAGTTTTGATCATAGATCTAGATTCAGCATGTCAAAATTACCAAAGTACCGAAAATTCATTTGTTTATGTTCAACCCTCTAGGAATAGTTTTAAAAAAATTATCCTCTTAGGCTCCTATTCAGGGGGCCGTAGCTCCTTTAGGGAGCATTTTTTGATACATGTTTATTAAACAAAAAAAGTTTTATTCTTATACGAATAATGCACTGTTTAAGTTTGTCCCCCTAATTTCGGGACACCCGTATAATGATAATTGTACCAAAAATGTTAAAAAAAAACGCGAAAATTCGATGGAAATCAAACTTTGGCCTCGAATAACTCTGGAAAGAATCAATTTATAGAAAAATGTTAGGAGACCTTTTTTGTAGAGCGTTAAATTTACTATGAAAATCTACGATGATCCTTGACATAAGTTGATTCGATTCAGACGTATAAAATTTCAAAGTTAAAAAAAAAAAATTCCCATGTTATTTAAATGGGAAATAGAAAATTGCGATCCGAGACCTCTAAATCTTCAAATTAAAAGCTCAAATTTTGACGAGGTCTTTGTGTTGACATCCTCTAAAAGAATTTGCCGACCATTTGAAGAAAAAGAAAAAGTCGATTTTTTTTAAACACCCTAATATACAGTGTATGGTGACCCAGTGCTCTGTGATCGGTGCATATTTTTTTTGCTATTAAAGATATCGATATGAAATTTTTATAGAAAATATGATCCAACTAAAGCTATTTTTCAAAATTATTTTGAACAAAATTCCACTTCCGGTTTCACCGGAAGTGACATCGACAATGTTATTTCAAATGGAATACCCTGTATATTTTTTGATTTTTAAATTTCATATGTAATTCCTGATAAAATTTCTATAACATTTCCTATACCTAAACTCAATAGTTTTCGAGTTATTAATTTTTTTCGTAAAAATTTGACAGTTGCGCCTTCAACAAAAATAGCCTATAACTTCTTTGTTATTAGGTCTATTGGTATGCGGTTTGGATTTTTGGAATGTTGAAACATTGTTTTAAATATCCCGTATCAAACTTTTCCATATTTCTAACTAATTACTTGATAAAAATTAGGGTGAATTTGACAAACTTTAAACGATAATAACTTTCTTATTTTTAATGGAACGCTATGTATATTTTTGCAGAATTAAATTTCTTATTAAATTCCCTTTTGATTAATATAACCATTCCCTATACCTAAAGTTAATAATAACAAAGATATTTCACAATTTTGTAATAATTTAGGTATCAACAAACCTGAGAAATCGACAAGCGACTTATTTTGACGTATCCATGGATACCAATAACAAAAATTGTTTAAAATCTAATTGTTTCACTTTTTCTAGTATTTGTTTAGTTAAAATGGATTTTACGCGACAAGAAATGATAAATATGGTTTATTGTATTGGAGAAGCGGATCGAAATGTTCTGCTAGCTAGTAGAATTTATCATCAAAAATATCCAGATTCAAGATTGCCCCGAGTAATTTATTTCAAAAATTGAGGGATAGATTTGAATTGACGGGTAATATTTCTTACAAGAAAGAAGAATTGATTGGACGGAGAATTAATGAAGACCATGAATTAGAAGTTCTTTTGACGATAGAGGAAAGTCCTTTTTTGAGTACTCGGGAGATCATAAGAGAAACTGGTCTATCGCAAAGCAGTGTGAATTTTAAACCATAGATAAATTTCACCCGTACCATATGGAACTTCATCAGAAACTTTATGATGACGATTTTCGGCATCGAGTAGATTTTTCAAATAGAATTCTTGAAATTGTGCATGCTAATGGCAACTTCTTAAACGGCATTTTATTTTCGGATGAATCTACTTTCGAGAGTAGTGGATCTGTTAATAGGCACAATTTGCACTATTATACGACTCATAACCCTTATTGGCTGAGAACCATGGATCACCAAAATAGGTGGTCATTGAACGTTTGGGGAGGTACTATTGGAGGCCGTGACGTAGACTTGCATACAAGACCGAACATGTGGATTCAGCATGATGGTGCTCCTGTTCATTATAGCCGTATCGTACGGCAGTTTTTAAATCGGAGTTACGCTAACCGTTGGATAGGAAGAGGAGGAACTATTGCTTGGCCAGCTTGCTTCCCAGATCTGACACCCATTGATTTTTTCCTTTGGGGGTATGTAAAGGAAAAAGTTTACAGAGAACGACCAAGCACAGCTGAGGATATGATGCAGCGAATAACCGATGCATTTAATTCTGTTAACGAGGATATGCTAACCCGCGTGAAGTAACCTTTTCTACATAGACTTTGTGACATTTTGTGTGTTCAGCAGAATGGCCGTATATTTGAGCATTTATTATAATTATTAATTAAAGTATTTCGGTAAATTAAATTTTTGATTCTGATTTAATTGATTTTTGTGCTTCTATTATAAGAATAAATAATAATACAATTCAACGAAAGAAATTATTAATAATTATTTCTCTCTGTATTACGTTGAATTGTATTATTTAGAATAACTGGTGGATTATGTGATATGTACTCCTTTTTACCAAAAAGATAATTTCACACTTGAAACAATTAGATTTTAAACAATTTTTGTTATTGGTATCCATGGATACGTCAAAATAACTAGCTTGTCGATTTTTCAGGTGTGTTGATACCTAAATTATTACAAAATTGTGAAATATCTTTGTTATTATTAACTTTAGGTATAGGGAATGGTTATACCAATCAAAAGGTAATTTTATAAGAAATTGAATTCTGCAAAAATATACATAGCGTTCCATTAAAAATAAGAAAGTTATTAACCTTTAAAGTTTGCCAAATTCACCCTAATTTTTATCAAGTAATTGGTTAGAAATATGGCAAAGTTTTATACGGGATATTTAAAACAATGTTTCAAGACTCCAAAAATCCAAACCGCATACCAATACACCTAATAACAAAGAAGTTATAGGCTATTTTTATTGAAGGCGCAACTGTCAAATTTTTACGAAAAAAATTAATAACTCGAAAACTATTGAGTTTAGGTATAGGGAATGTTATAGAAATTTTATCAGGAATTACATATTAAATTTAAAAATCAAAAAATATACAGGGTATTCTATTTGAAATAACAATGTTGATGTCACTTCCGGTGAAACCGGAAGTGGAATTTGGTTCAAAATAATTTTGGAAAATAGGTTTAGTTGGATCATATTTTCTATAAATATTTCATATCGATATCTTTAATAGCAAAAAAAATATGGACCGATCACAGAGCACTGGGTCACCCTGTATATATATATATTGTAATGTATTCTTAAAAAGGTTATTTAGCAATTATATCGACAATTTTAAAATAATACTGGGTGCGGCAAGATAATTATCTTATTTCATAATGCAATAAAGTGAAGATATTGTACACGATTATATAGAGACCGAGTGCACCTTACATTTTAAGTACGTAACTAAATCATCTTTAAAAGTAACTTTATAATAACGTTATGCTTTTAGCGGCAAAACCGAATGCTGCTATGGTGTATCAGCTGTATTCACCAAACATGAAAACGCTAGGTATACATATATACAGGGTTTCCCAAAATCTTCGGACCAAACGAAAGGGGTCGATTCCTTGCGAAAATCTAAGACGATATTTTATTTAGCATTTTTTGAACTCGCAAAATTGAAACAGTAATTTATTTTTTATGGCCGCTAATGTCCCAAATTTGGCGGCCCAAAGGGTTAAAAAATAATGGTAAGGTAAATTTAAATTTGTCTTGGATCGTTTGGTCCGGTGGTTTTGGGACACCCTGTATATATAACAAAAAAGTAACGCAAAATATAACATAAAATACAACATATAAATAACGTTAGATTTGTAACGTTGGTAAAACGATTGCAATTGGACATTTTACACTGAGCTACGTCAAAGAGAAAGCTGAGATTCCAAAGCCTTGCAATCGCGGCCGACTAGTCACGATGCGGGTTGCCTATTGACGATTGTATAAGATATTGGAGGCTAGTCTCATCTGATTTTCGGAATGATTCAAGACCTTCCACCGGCTAATTACTAGTAAAGAAGAGTTTTTGATATCGTTATCAAAATAGAAATTAAAGGAGAGAAAGCTATGTATAAAATGTACTTGTACTTTATTAGCCTACTTAATTTCACTGACCACGAGCCACCTTTGCTTGAATAGCTCTCTACAGCTTTACATCCTTTACATTTTGACAAGATCAACATCAACAAACTATTGTAAAGAAGATATATAACGCAGTTTTAGCCAATCCTATTATTAAAATATAGATACATATCATAATAATACATTCCTTACATGTATTTCTCTATTAATTTCTCTTTATATTCGACTGTTCCTTGTATAATATCGGATATATATTAAATATCCATATTAAATATTTTTTAGGGTTAAATAGTAGACGCGCTGAGTTGCTTCAAGATTATGGTTGTGAAGTAAAGAAAATTAAAACAAAGGATAATAATATTATAGACACAATATTTATGGATAGCAGAAATCAAGGAATTCATGGTGAAACTCTTGTCATTTGCTGTGAAGGTAGTGCATCTTTTTATGAAGATGGCTGTCTTATTAGAGTACCCATGGAAGCTGGATATTCCATGTTAGGATGGAACCATCCAGGTTTTGGAAATAGTACGGTAATATTATTTTATTTTTATATTAAGGATAAATATATTTAAATATAGTAGGTGCCTACCAACTAAAATTACGAGTTTAAGTTAATTATATTTAACATTATTTTTAGGGAAAGCCAATGCCATCCCAAGAACAAAACGCAATAGATGCTGTAGTCAAATATGCTATTTTTAAATTAAAATTTAAGAGAAAAAATATATTATTTTATTGTTGGAGTATTGGGGCTTATACAGGAAGTTGGGCTGTAATAAATTATCCAAGTTGCAGAGGAATTGTAAGCTCACAAAATATTTTAAATTAAAATTATTTAATTTATCATTTATTATTTTTTAAATAATTTTTAGTTTAAAATGCAGGATTTTAAAATTAAACAATTTTTATGGCTTCTAAGAAATATAAGTTTTTTTAAATTGGTTAACAATTTTTATCTTCAAAATAAAGCGTATTCGAAACAAAATTAATAGATTTCTTTTTTTTTCTTAAAATAATTTTTTTTTTAACTGTTATTTTGTCATAACGCCTTGGATACGAGATATGTAAATACATCCATAACAACCGGTGCGTAATGATGAGAGGGCGTAATGGATTTATTACGCGCTCTCATTACCCCCTCAGAAAATAACATTACTTTTTTCAGTTTTATGTAAAGTGAAAAATTAAATCTTGTATGCACCACTGGCGTTACTATAGAAAATAATTGGATATTGAGGATAGATATTTATGCACCAAGGGTGTTATTAAGATGATTACGCCCATCGAGCATCGCCCTCGGATGGGTGTCGCTCGCCGTGCGTAATCATCTTAATAATTGGTGCATAAATAGCGAATTACGAACAATTATGAGACAACCTCCATTAACACTTATGCTTTTCATTTATTTGTTTGATAGATTTTAGATGCAGCTTTTGATGAAATGTTAAACTTAGCCAAAAATGCTACACCACAATGGCTTCATAACACTGTTGAAATTGCTATTAAAAAATATGTGGACTTAAACGTACTGGAACTTTTAAAGGAATATTGTGGTCCAATCTTACTTATAAGAAGAACTAGAGATGAAATAACATGTTTAGAGTAAGATCTAAATATTTATTTAACAATTTTTCGCTTGGTATACTTTAATTACAAAAATGATCGATAGTAGAGCATTACGAAAATATGTGGCACCCATGACGAAGTATTTAAATGACAGTTTTAAACAAAAGTTGTTTGAAATACTATCTTATTGGCAGGGCCGTATTCAGGGGGAAGAAACAACCAAAAATATGGCTCTGGCAGAAAATCTAAAACTAATTTAATATGTAATACATTTTATATGTCAGTTTAAGAAATAATTGTCTTCCTGCACAATAAAAACTATTCCTAATACTTTATAAAACTGATATAAGGGTGATTCTAAAAATATTGAGTAATTTTGAGGTACTATGCCCCACACCTCCAGGTCCTACCACGTGACTACGTACGGAATGCAGTCCTTTGAAAATTTGGCATTTAATGCTTTTCAGTTTATGACATAAACTTTATGTATCTGTCAAAGTATAGTCAATGAAAGAAATAATATTTATACTGTTACCGCTTATGTTTAAGCGTTAAAAGTTTATAAATCTTTATAGTATCACCGTACGGTGCTCGGGAAGCAGCTTTTAATGAAAAGATAAGTTTCATGTTTTTTTTTTTTTAGTTTTTATGTATTTATTGCAACCATAGAAGTAATTTTTTGGTATTTTTAGGATCGCTTAACATGGCCGTTTTTAAGAAAATATTGAATTTATAAAAATAAATTGGATTTTTCGAAACATCAATTTATATTGTAATAAACTATCGTAAAAGCAATACGAAAGTGTATACGTACGTTTTTTAAAAACAAAAGCATCAAACACATTTTAAACTTGCATATATTCATACTAAACTGCGCACCAGTCAATGTGTCGCGACCAAAAATTTCGTCCTTTTTCAAAAAATGAATCCCCAAATGGCATTGGCAAAGGCATGTTATTGAGACATTTAACAGCCGGGAATTTTTTTTGAATCTTGATTCTTGGTGATTTTGGTTTTATCTAAAACTTAAATTTGACAACTGAATCACATCAGAAGGTCAAAATTATGAAGAAAACATGTCACGAACGTAAATATCGGAGAGCAACAATGGAAAGTTTACCAAAGCAAAAACCAAACCATATGAAAGAATGGATGAATGAGGCATGTAAAAAAGAAATAGAGGAAAAAATAGTACTATGGAAAAAAATGTTACAAAGTGGAAGTAATGAGAACAAAAGAGCATATCAAGATCAAAGAAAAAAGTAAAAAGCCTACGCAGATCCCAAAAAAGACAAATGATGGAGGAAAAAATAAAAAATATGGATAAACATACAGAAAAAAGGAAATAAGAAACTTTTATAAAGAAGTAAATAATATTAAGGCAGGATATCAGACGACAAACAGTTTTTACAAGGACAAACATGGAAATTTAATAGGCGAAGAAGAGGATATTATGAATAGATGGAGACAACATTTTGAGGAATTACTAAATGCGCAGTCTGAAGCTAATTTGAGTGAGGATACAGAAGAGGAAAATAAAGAAGTTAAATGTTTAACGCCTCCTACAAGGGAGGAGGTAGATGAAATATTAAATGAGATGAAAAACAATAAACCAGGAGGATCAAATGGAATAGTGGCAGAAAATCTAAAGGGAAGAGCTGTTTAATTTGATGAAAGTGGGAGCAGAAAAAGATGCCGAAAGAATGGAGTAAAGTCAACATTATCCCTATCTATAAAAAAGGAGATAAATCTATATGCAGTAATTACAGAGGAATATCAATACTCGATGTTACTTATAAAGTGTTAGCTAGGGCAATAAAGCAAAAGCTCATACCTTATGCAGAGAAAATTCTGGGGGAATATCAAGGTTGTTTAAAAAAAAATAGAGGCACTAATGACCAAATTTTCGTAAGTAATATCATAAGGGCATCTAATTTTTCCGAAAAAAATCGAAAAAACACGTTGCTAAGTAATATTTTAACAAGAAGCATGAGTGCTGGTGGCAACAACAATCCGAGTCGAAGAGGAGGGTTTTTGCACCTGCACGAATGCATTTTATTAAAAAATATTACTTAGCATTGTGTTTTTTCGATTTTTTTCACAGGAAAAATTAGATGCCCGAATGGTATTACTATTTCATGAGTAACAGTTAACAATAAATATATAAATTGCAACTTTTGGTGACAACAGCTGTCAAGTTTTGCCGCGGGTAAACTCGAAAAAACTGCTGACAGGTGCTGTCACACAGTTTTTTCATCTAGACATTGTAATTCAAAATTGCGTGTTTGTGATTGGTGGAAATTAAGACGAGGGAAATAGTCAGTGTTATCAGGATTGTATGAATATAATATACAAACGTTTATGCTGTTTGTAGATTTTAAAGCCGCTTATGATACAATAGGAAGAACACATCTATTCCATACGTCTATTCCATAGAATTAGTAAAGATGACCCTAAGTAAGACATCAGGTTTGATAAAGATACATGGTAAAGCATCAAAGAAGTTCCAGATAAAATCGGGACTAAGACAAGGAGATCCTCTCTCAACAGTTCTATTTAATTTAGTTCTAGAAAAAATTATAAGAGATAGCAGAATTAACAGAAATGGATCTTTATTTTCTAGAAGCCATCAATGCTTAACATATTCAGATGATGTGGTTTTAATATCAAGAACTAAGGGAGAACTACAGAGGATAGCAGTGGATCTTATAAACATGGCAGAGAAAATGGGACTTAGGGTAAACTACAAAAAGAGTAAATACATAAAAATAGAAACATAAAAGAACTCGCAAGAGATGGAAACACTAATAGCAGAAAAAATTTTTTGTAGTAATAATATTTTTGCAAAAGGGCAAATCCGCCAAATTTACGATTCTGAGCTTTATGCACAAAACAATTCGTACATGCTGTGGGATCATTCTGGCAAAAGGACGAATGTATATAATGGATTATATATTAAATATATATATATATATATATATATATATATATATAAATATATATATATATATTTATAAATATATATTCATTTTTTTTTTAGGTCATGCAGAAATATTTTTTCTCAAAACAGGAAAATGGCATATTCGCCTTTTTGCAAAAATACCATCGATATATTATACTATATTACCACAAAAAATTTTAGTTTTTGTATACAAGTATTGTTTTTAAGTATAAACAAATTTACGTATTTAAAAATAATAACATGTTTTTTGATAAAAGCATTAAAGAGAATATTTTTTTTTATAAATATGCCAAATTTTCTACTAAAAATGCTCTTTACTTGGAATGGATTCCTCGACTATATTTCCAGAATAATTTAAAAAAATAAAATTGTTTTACTTATTCCTACTATAGGGTGTCCAAAAATCTACCAACTTTAAATGCGTTTAATAAACAACTGAGACGTGATCTAAAAAACCTAATAGGGTTTTGTTGTAGAAGCTATTACATTTCATTTGCTTTTGGTTTCATCCCATTCCCTTTTGCACTGTGTAATTATTTATTAATTATTAATATTAAATATTTATTAATTAATAATAAATATAAAGAAATGTTTTAAATGGGGTAATCTTTAGCAACCACTACAGAATTCCACTCTAGCGGGATTATCTCCGGCTGCAGGTGCTGCACTTGCGTAAAATCAACGTCCTTCTTAACCCGCTGAACTGTAAACAGGAAATTTGCGTGAAACTTCTCTTATGCTCTTCCTACTACTTGCATCAAAAATATTAAAAATAGCCTCTTTTACGCAGAACAACTTTATAGTCCAGGGGACGATCGGGAAAGAGCTGGGAAAAAACTTGTGCTCCTTCCCTAGCATTGCGCCCATAGGTACTCCTCATAAATAATACCTAATCATTTTGTCATAATCAGAGGAGGAAAACATAACTTAAAATGACAGGAAAAAAAATTGACAGCAGTGTCACAATCATAGATAATAAATCATATAGATACGCCACTGTCACACATTTGACGCTCCTTGTTACGCACACTCGGTCCGCTATGCCGCTAGTGTACCCGCCTGACATTTATTGGTTTTAGGTTATGGTTTTAATTTAGGTTATCCTGTCAAATTTTGACAGTCAAAATGGTAAAAAATAAAAGGCCTGATAGTTTATTTAAATTGTTTATTTAAGAAGCAAAAATAAATGTATTATATTTTAAATTATTCAAGGTATTTACTAAACTAAACCAATTAACAATATAATATTGTATTCAAGTGAATTTTATCTTATTAAAGAACACAAATCAGTATAAAGTAATAATATTATGTACCACATTTGTGTTAGTACCTACATCATTATTTTAATAAAATAGTTATAATTGAATAATACAATACAACCTGGTCATCATTGTGAAAAGTATGCATCATAACTTGACTGTTAAAGCAGCCCACAGTACAGCACAACACCATGTTAATGTTCAAATAATGTGGCAATATATAAAAAATAGAGTACACAGATAACGATAAATCGCAATTTTAAAAGTTTTTAAGCGTACAGAACAAACCAAATAAACACAATATGAATTTACAAAACTTTACAAAATTTATCAAACTGAAGTTTGTTGATTTCGTTACCAAGCAACCGTCAAGATTAACCGCCGCTCCTGCCACATGCAACTCGAGTGTAAACTAAAACCAAAGTCGACTAGACAAAAATGTGGATTTTGTTTGTGTAAGGCGAGTGCACAGGGCATGGTCACAATGAAGTGGATTCTAGTGGACCAAATATTTTACATATTAAAATATCAACAATGCATCATAAGTATCCTAGCAATTTAAAGAATTCCCTACGGCCATGTATTGGGGATGGCTATAGTTTTTTATTCTTATCTCGCTTATCCTTTGCGTTAGATACGAGAATTTATGTAATTTTAATGTTCAAGTATTTGTTTCGCATAACTTTTTCTCTGTGGCGCACTCTGGCCGGGGCCCTGCTTCTTGGTAGTATTCTACTAGACGTTAGATGTTAGTCGGATACGCACGGTGCTAGTTTTTTAATTTAATTCAAGAGACAATAAAACATAAGAGTGGCCACTGCCATGTTGCGTAGTATCTTAACTATAAAATTATTGGCACGCCTTAGCACAATTTATTTTACTGTGCCAAAATAACTAATTATTAAATAATAAATTAGAGCTTCACTGGCACATAGCTACGAGCTCATAATTATGATTTAAAAAATTAATTTAATTTTAAATATACTTTTACGTTTTTGTGAAAAATAATCAACCAAGTTTTTGATGTTTATATTACAGGGCAGGAAATTTATCAACCAATAGAGCAAATATACTTTTGATGGAAATATTTACTTTTCGCTTTCCGAATTTAATAACATCCAATGTAAAGATAGTTTTAAATAAGTATTTGTCAGTTACCGGAAAATTTCAAGGTAATTTAATTAAAAATTTTGAATTAATAATTATAATTAACACAGGCCGATAAAATACAAAAAAACATTATTCTGTTGAACTACTTTCCCTACTAATAAAAAAACAACCTTTAATTTATAATTTTTCGGAAAAGAAAATGGATCTTGGAAAAGTTCAAAATAGGAAATCGGCTGTGATGACATTATTATAGGTAAAATAAATGTAATATGAGTATCAGTATGAGTATAAGTCGTATAACTGGCCCATTGCCTCATCTCTTCCGAACCCCGCACAAGCCTCCGTTACCATACGTTGATTTTTTCCCGCCACCAGCAACTGCACGGCTTCACCCATGTTTGCTGGGTGCGAATGTCCACCACGTCCGGTATTGTACCCTATTTGAGGCTCGAGAGCCACATGCGAATAGTTTTAATAGCCTCTCCCGGATTCGCCGGGCCGTTGCTAAACGCCCAGTAGGAAGATAAGGAGGTGAGGACGGGGGGACAGACATTTTTTTGTTTAGGCGACAATTACGCCGACGTAAATCTGTGTACGACGCGTGATCCAACTAGACCGGGAAATTAGTATTACTCCAAACATTTTGGATTACAATTTGAAGTTGGGGAGTTGTTAGTTAGATGTAGGGACCTATATTTCTAGTCATAGGCTATGGTTTGACCGTCCTCGACTGTCCAAAAATTGTCATTTTTTGGCCCCTTTTCCTTCTTGCGAGGATCGCGACCCCCTTCGATTTATTTTGGTGTTTCCCAACACTCAGATACCAGCTCTACCTTTTTGTGTAAGCGCGTCCCGATGTCATGTGCGTTTATTGTATGCGTTTATTGTATGCCCAGTTGTAGTGCTCTAGTATATTGTCTATTAGGCCCCTTTTTTTCACCCTTCTCCACCCGCATGAGTTTAGTGTGCCTATTAAGTAATTGTCGATTTGCGTGTTACCTCTGATTCTGCATGCCCTGTAGTTGTTTGTTGATTGCGTTATAGTGTGTTTATCATTACTCTAATTTTTACGTTTGTGCCGATCGTGGTAGGACTGCATACCTTTGAGATATTGTCGTAGTCGTTCAAGTACGCTTTGATTTGTCCATTTTTGTATGTTATGTTTTCGTAACGACTGATTAGTCCGATTCATATCGACGAAGGGCCTATAGTTCCTAGGTTACTATGTTTATTTATGTCTCGATAAGTTTACACACTTTTGTTTACGGAACGGTCTCTTAAGTTGGTAATTGATTTATTTTTCCTAATCCCGTAAATGCCAGCGATAAGACGGCTTGGTTTTATTGTTTTTTGTATTGTTTTGTTACTATTGTCTTGTTATTAATGTTGCTGTTGCTCTTTATTTTACATTGTTTTTTTATTTTTATTACTAGGGTTATGTTTAAGCGAAGTGAACCGCTCTTAGGGTTGTGTAGGTATCTGAACGTGATTAATATTGCAATTTACGTATTAGGTAATGCGGTCAGTACGGAGTACTTGCAGACCTATGGTCGTTCACATAAAATGCTTCCTATTGTCAGGTAGTTCGTCCACCAGGTATGCTGTCACTTATCACTTCTCACTTCATCACATCCGTGGCCTTTATTTCACTGTAGATACAATGCACTATAGTTTATTTGCACTGTAGTAGTAGTTTATTGTAGGTTGTGAAATTTGTGTTTTTAGCGAGGTCTCGGTTACTGTAGTTAGTTACTGTAGTTACTCGGTTAGTCTTACCTCGTCAAGAGTTCGAACTTGACTTATAGGCACAATAGATGTTATATATCAAAAAAATATTAGTATACTAATATTTTTTTGTATATCCGTATACGGATTGTATTTAAAGTCTCGGCCTGCTTAATTTAAAATAAATTTTAACCAAATAACAGTTCCAAAAAGATCTAAAGTTCACTGAGCTATAACTTATAATCTAAATTGTTGTAGGAAAAATGGTCTTCGCTTTAATATTAAAATAAAATTATTATGCATTTATTTGAAACAGGTTTTCTTGTATGAAGTAAAATTTTCTTATTCGTAGTAAGTACAAAATACTATTATTTGGTTGTAAATCATAAGTTTCTTGAAAACAACTTATTGTTGTGATTGATTATAAATAAAGAAATATTTATTTAGAGTAATTAATTAAATTGTTTGGATGTAGGTTTTATTTCTTTGCTTCTACTAAACCTGAGCTAAAAAGTCAACTTGTATTAACCAAATATTAGTTTAAAAAGTCAAATAAACCCAAGTTTTCCACTAAATAAATATATTCTTGTACATATCGAAATAAATAATTTATTTGAACCAAGCCAAATATAGTAAAATCAAGAGATTACTTTTCTCTGTGTATCCCAATTTTTGTTGCATTTGAACAAATAATAATTATAAAAACGAGGTTTACCTTTTGCCATTTTTTTTGGATACTCTTGCATAATTCCTGTTTTTTTAGTACCTATATTAAAATTAAAATCAGGGAGAGATTTTGAGTAATATTAATTAGCAATAAAATAGAATTATATTAATATATTACTATAGTAATAGGTTATAGGCATCCTAAATAATGTTTTAAATTGTCACTATATGTTAAATATGATTGCCATTGGCGGATACAGAACTTTTGCTTGGGGGGGGGGCATCCCAAATTTTATTAAACGAAATATATTTTAAATAATAATGTGTAACGTTACAAACGTAGGGTAAAACACCCAGTTATTGGCACCTTAAGCAGCTTATCAGATTATTTGTAGTTTTTATGTAACTAAAAGTAAAGCAACCTAATTATCCCTTTAAATGGAAAGTCTTTAAAGATTCTTTTATAGTTTTCAAACAAAACATAACTCAAAAATAAGTTTTATAAGTACAAAAAAATATTTTTTTTATTTTATGTAACTTTTCCAGTCATTGGCAGATATCTCTAGTCATTGGCATTATAACTTAACGTGTTATTGGCATTAAGTCCCAGTGTTTGGCAAAAGATAAAATGCAGTAATTGACGCTTATCCCAGTCATTGGCATGTAACTGTATCTAATTATTAACCATTTTCCAAATTCTATTTTTTAATTACGAATTTTTTTTATAAAAGGTAGGTAAGTAAAATATAAATTGATTCTTTATTTTTTTGATTAGCTAAGTTATGTAGGTACAAAATAAACGAAAAAATTAAGAAACTGGTTCTAAACAACTGCTCACTAAAATGATACAAAATAGGCAATTAATCCCAACAAACCAAGATAAAATATTGTTAATTTAGTTTAATTTTAAACGCCTCCAAAGCCTTGCCAACTTTGCATTTATAAAATTCTTTGTAGGTACCATGTTTTTTTAAACTCTTTTCATGGTATGATTTTGTACAAGTCTGACACCTTATTCCATAATTTAACAAAGAGAAAATTTTGGTACATGAGACACAAAGTCCTTTGTTGCATATCACAATATTGATAGGAAGGCCTGATTTGGTACTTGGTTCAGTTGAATAAAAAATGTCGGTTGATTTTTGTTTATAGGATTTCTTATTTTTCTATTCGCTATTTTATTTTTCAATATTTGGTAAAAAATAAGCAATCGCCAATAATTGGTACAGGTCAAATTTCAAGTAATTTAGTTATTGGCAGTAATGCCAATAATTGGTTTGCACTAAAATATGATACCCAGTAGTGGGCATATTGAAAATTCACTTTTAAAAGTAAAATAACTAAATAAAAAATTGTTAAAATTTTGTATAATGACTCTAAATATATAAAAAATTGTTTAACTTTTATTAACATGCATTATTAAGGCAAAAAATAAGTATTTAAAATTTACCAATTACTACCAAAATGGCGATTTTTTGCCGCGCGAAAGGTGGGCAATTTTTCGATAACGTTTACTTTAAAACATTGAGTAATATCAAACCTGATTGACATTCAAGGGATGGTGCTGTTGCCCCTGGTTATAAAAATGTAAGTACGAATAAAACTTAATATGGAAATTTGCTTATAAAATGATTTATTTTTCCTCGTTGCCAATAACTGGGTACCTGCCAACTATTGGGTGTTTTACCCTACAATACTGTCATACGTTAAACAACTCTGAAAGGAAGTTGCATTTAAAATTTAAAACTCAAGTGGCACTTACATATGTATATATATTATACGTACATACGAGGTGTGTTCAGAAAATATCGGGAACAAATATTTATTTATTTGTCTACATTAATGTTGTCGCCTTCAAAATAGTCCCCATTGGATATTATGCACATGTGCCAGCTCTTCTTCCAATACTCGAAACACTTCTAAAACTCGATCTTTGGGATAGCCTTTAGTTCTTTTAGAGATGCGCTTTTAATGTCATCTATGCTTGCAAATCGACGGCCCTTTAAGGTTCTCTTTATTTTTGGGAATAGGAAAAAGTCAGACAGAGGCATGTCTGGCAAATATGGAGGCTGGGGCATCATTAGAGTATTGTTTTTGGCCAAAAATTTTGTTCAAAATTTAACAATTTTAGAACAAATTTTTCTGCCACGCGTTTCATACCCAAAACATTCGAAAAAATTTCATGGGATGAGCCAATCGATATACCAACATCATCAGCGACTTCTCTGATGGTTTATAACCATTTCTTCCACTTTTTCCATGTTTTTATCGGTTGTTAATGTGCTTGTGCGTTCGGGGCGTTCGTCATCTTCAACGTCTTCACGGCCATCTTGGAAACTCTTATACCACTTGTAAACTCTTGTTTTACTTATAGCAGACTCACTATAGGCCTTTTTTAACATTTCACAGAATTTATTCATTTTTTAAGCATAATTGGATACTAATTCTTTGATCCATTTCTTTTAACGAACGAAAAATCGCCGAGATCATAAAACATGTATAACATTAGCGGCTACCACAGACAAAGTAAACAATGAAAACAGCTAAAGTTTTTATTATACTTCGGGGGCATGTATACCAACATAATAAAGAAAATTTTATGACAACCGGATCCTCCGAACCCGCGAAATTTAACAATACCCGTTATTTTCTGAACACACCTCGTATATTT